GTGGGCGGAGCTTGGGGGGAAATTTGGGAATTTGGGGGAAAGTTTGGGAATTTTGGGATCCTGGGATGGATCTGGGGGGTCCTAGAGGAGGAATTTGGGGGTTTGGGGGATTTTTTGGGGGGAATTTGGAAGGTGGGGAGGGGATTTTGGGGTCTCTGGTGAAAATTTTGGGATCCTGAGGGGATTTTGGGGGGTCCTGAGGGGATTTTGGGGTCTCTGATGGAATTTTTTGGGATCCTGCTGAAATTTTTTGGGATCCTGATGGAATTTTGGGATCCTGATGGGATTTTTGGGATCCTGAGGGGATTTTGGGGTCTCTGATGGGATTTTTTGGGATCCTGCTGAAATTTTCTGGGATCCTGAAGGGATTTTGGGATCCTGAACGGATTTGGGGATCCTGATGGGATTTTGGGGTCTCTGATGGAATTTTTTGGGATCCTGAGAGGATTTTTTGGGATCCTGAGGGGATTTTGGGGATCCTGAGGGGATTTTGGGATCCTGATGGGATTTTGGGGTCTCTGATGGAATTTTTGGGATCCTGCTGAAATTTTTTGGGATCCTGATGGGATTTTGGGGTCTCTGATGGAATTTTTGGGATCCTGAGGGGATTTTTGGGATCCTGCTGAAATTTTTTGGGATCCTGATGGAATTTTGGGATCCTGATGGAATTTTTGGGGTCTCTGATGGATTTTTGGGATCCTGATAGGATTTTGGGGTCTCTGAAGGGATTTTTTGGGGTCTCTGATGGATTTTTGGGGTCTCTGATGGGATTTTTGGGGTTCCTGATGGAATTCTTTGGGATCCTGATGGAATTTTTGGGTTCCTGATGGGATTTTTTGGGTTCCTGATGGGATTTTTGGGGTCTCTGATGGAATTTTTGGGATCCTGATGGGATTTTTGGGATCCTGAGAGGATTTTGGGGTCTCTGATGGAATTTTTGGGATCCTGATGGGATTTTTGGGGTCTCTGATGGGATTTTTTGGGTTCCTGATGGAATTTTTGGGATCCTGATGGAATTTTTGGGATCCTGAGGGGATTTTTTGGGGTTCCTGAAGGGATTTTCTGGGATCCTGAGGGGATTTTGGGTTCCTGATGGGATTTTTGGGTCCCTCCCCTCAGGCCAGGCCAGTCCTGGGTGGAGCTTTCGGCCATCTTGGCCTCGGGGGCGGAGCCGGAAGTGCTGGTGAGTGGGCGTGGCCTCGGGGTGGGCGTGGCCTGAGCTGGTCACACCCCAAATCCCATCAATCCCCCCCAGGTGTCAATCAAGGCTTTATGCAAATCCAGGGAGGCGGAGCTACAGTGGGCCCATCCCCCCAGGTAAGGCCCCTTACACAACTCCTTAATTAACTCCTTAATTAACGCATTAATTAACGCATTAATTAACCCCCGGCGGCACCAATCACTGCAGGGAGCCGCAGGAGGAGCTGGCTGAGGCTCACGATTGGCTGGAGCAGGCTGAGGTGGGCGTGGCTTGCAGGGAAGGGGCGTGGCTTTACCTGTGGCCCCGCCCCTTTTCCTGACACTTGGCGCCCCCTGCAGGCTCTGCTGATTGGCCACAGCCCCGAGGCCGTGCTGTGGGCGTTGGAGGCGCTGGCCAATCAGAGCACGAGGTGGGCGTGGCTTAGGGTGTGGGAGTGGCTTGGAGGGCTGGGCGGGGCT